GCTGCCGGAGCAGTTCTGTCTGTGTGTGCACGGCAACCAGCCTTTTCTCTTAGCGCCCTGAGTTTTCTCTGGTGCCCAGGGCTGAACCCTTGCCTGAGGTCCAAGTTATTAAAGCAAGGAAGAAAAAAAAAAAAAAAAAAATCAGTAAAGAAGAAAAAAAAAAAAGAGGAAAAAAAAAAAAAAAAAAAAAAAAAAAAAAGAGGGAGGGGAAAAAAAAGGGCTTTTTTTCCCTTTGGAAAATGGGAGGCTTCATCTTCCTGCTGCCGGAGCAGTTCTGTCTGTGTGTGCACGGCAACCAGCCTTTTCTCTTAGCGCCCTGAGTTTTCTCTGGTGCCCAGGGCTGAACCCTTGCCTTCCATGGCGAGCAAGCTGGAGCAGGACTTGTGCCTGGCCACAGCTCCGGGGGAGCACGGACTGCTGCCCACCTGCTCTGGAGGCGCTTCCTTAGCGAGCGGAATTATCCTGCAGGTGTGCGAGCCTTTCTTTGGAGTGAAAGGAAAAGCAAATCATTTTTTTCTTGTCCCTTCTGATCTTATTTCCACGTGCAGCTGTTCCTCGGATGACACACGAGCTAATCGCTCGGGAGCTGTCATCTGAAGTGTCATTAAGGCTCCGCGCATGCCATCGTGGGCAGGAATTAGCGCACTATTTATACGCAGCAAAAAGGAACGCTTTATTTTTAAAGGAAATGAAATATTTAGGGCTCGCGAGTTTCCAGAGGCTGGATGAGAGGGAGGCAGCGGGGGGACGGCGCGGCCCGCCGGGGGAGCAAGGGCTGGCGGCGGCGGGAGGCAGCTCCGCCATCGCCAGCGTGGGTGCCGTGGCTCGGGGCAGCGCTGAGGAGCACGGCGGGAGCCGGGGCTGCTGTCGACTCGCGTTAGCGTCGAGCGGCAGCAGCGCTCGCTCGCCGGCCTGGCCCCTCGCGCCTCCGCGGGGCTGGTTCCGCCATGGGGGAGCAGGGGCGAGAGGCCTGCGAGCCCCGCGCGCCGTGTATCTTGGCCCGCCGTTGTCTTGGCCTGTCCTTGTCTGGGCCGCCCTTGTCTTGGCCCGCCTTTCTCTGCTCGCTCCGAGGCTGTGCTCAGCCCACACTCGAGCTCCCCGGGGAAGGAGCCGTGGGCAGCCCGTGGTGTGGCAGGCGGGCGCTCGCTCGCAGACAGGGGCAGCCCCTCCATGGCGGCTTCTCCCTCGCATTTGCTGCAGGAGCAAGCAGAGCCTCCTCTTCCTCTGGGATGGGTTGGATGAAGAGCACAGCCTGGGCCTCTTGGCACTGTCCCCATGCCTGGCTTGTCCCCTGATCCAGTGCCCAGCTGGGACCTCGTTGCTCCCTGGGGACTGTTTTCCAAGGTTGGGAGCCGTCAGGTGCATCCCGATGTCCCTGGCCCTGCCACAGGGGCACCTGCCAAACGCTTGGCTGGGGTTGAATGTGCTGCCTGTTTCCCCAGGAAGGCCACGTAGCCTTTCCTCGCTAGTCAATTAGCCACAATTAAAGGATCAGCATGTGCCCAGCCCTGCCATACTCGACCTGACTGGAGCTGGGGCTCCATCTCCGCTGGTGCTGGTGGGACAACACAAGAGCGGGGCTTCATCCTTTCAGCTCAGCAGAAATCCCTCTCCCTTTTCTCCTGTATCTTCTCCCAAAGCCCAGACACCCGCCCACCTTGCTGCCAACAATTCTGTTTCTCAAAAAAAAAAAAAAGCCCTATTTTTAGGCCCGGCTCCAGTACTGCTGGGTGCCAACATCAGGCTCTGGGTGTGCGTCCCGGAGGAGGTGTCGCGGGGCCTTGGAGAGGCTGGCGGGCTGCAAGAGGCTGTTTCTGCCTTCCGATTGCTCTTCCTGGTTTTCTTCTGCCTGTGCAGGTGCCTGCACACGTTATCACTGATGCTTTTTGACGCGCTTTGGTGCGTTTCTCAGTTTTTAGAGAAAATTTTGCAATCTCAGTAGAAAAGCCAAAGTAGGAAAAAAAATCTTCAGAGTCAGATCTTGAAGAAAGCAGTAAAACTGGCTGGATGCTTCCAAGATTTTTTTTTTTCTTCTTCTCTTCTCTCCCCACAAAACAAGCAGGTTTGTAACAGCTGACTGCATTGATTTTTTTGCTTCCAATTTCCCATTGATTCTTTTTTAAATGAAAATGGATAATATTTTGACATTGACAGTGTGGGGATATATGTTTTCAGTATGCACATTTTTTAATATAGCAATTGCCCTGCAGTTGCCCTGATGCAATTTGGTTGAAAACAAACTTACTTTTTTTCCTTCCCACTTTTTCCATGTATCAAAATATTCCACAAGGGGGCAAAGATTCTCGTTTCCAGCTCCGTTTTGCATCACTGCCAGGACGAGGTTCTCCAAAGTGCTCTAAAGCACAAAATCTATAACTAGATCATTCAAAGCCAGGTTCAGTGCAGAGGGGAGGAACCACTGAGCTCTCTCGAAAAGCTGACTTTTCTTTGGGATCTAAATAAATTCATTGTCAGTATAGCTGAACTGTGACCCAAAAATGTGTCCCCTTGCTGCCTCAAGCCACCTCTTGGCAGTGTCACCAGCCTCTGCTGCTTCAGCCATCGCTGCACAAAGTAGTAATTGCTCTTCCATTTGTCCCAAGCGGGGTCTGGCCGGTGACATGTTGGTGTCTGTAGCATCTCCCAGCCCAGCACACTTCTAAGAGGCTTTTAGGGTCTGTTTTCCTCCTCGCACCTTTGGAAGCTCAAACAGCTTCAAGCTCCCCTGCTCTCATCACCTTTGCTATTTCCCTCCCTCCCCGTGGTCACTGTCAAAGAACATAGTCCATAAGCTCCATCTCAGACCTCTGCCTTGGGTAGGGCATGAGGATCTTCAGCCTTCCACCTAGTTTTGTCATGGGTGCAATACAGCAGCTCTGTGGTCTGTCCAAACGGACTCAAGGTTGTGCTCCTAGCTTTGGCTGCCATCTCATCAAATTCTGGTCTTTCTGGCAAGAAAGAATGGATACTGGAGGCTTGGTTTTGTGTTTCAAGGCAGGGTGCTTGATGGCTGTGGATAGTTCAATGCCCCATTTGTTTTATCTGCGAGGTCCTGTCAAGTATCACGGTGATTCGGCTGATTTGGTTTACCCTGCACTGAAAACCATGGCCAGCTAATGCATCTTGGGATGATGTCTGCATAAGGTCTGTCACCAAAGAGCCGTGCGCTCCCCTGGCCCTGGGTTAGCAGGGCACGGGCTCCTCTGCCAATATGGGAGCTGCACCAGGCGGTCAAGTCTGCATCCCATGGGGAATATCAGACACACAGTGAGGAAGCAGGTGGGAGTGGAGGAGCCATCCCTTCGATGGCAATACCTGGGCTTCCATAGGTTCAACCATTGCCCCAGAGCCCTGTCTCCAGCCAGGCGTCCCCACGAGCAGATTCCCTAATTCTCCTGCTGGGCATGTGGGAAGAGGCTTGACTCCCAGTGTTTTTGCCCCATCCTGCTGATGTGAAAATTAATTAATGTTGTCTTGAATTCATTTAATCACATATATCTGTGATTTACTTAGTGCTGTTCCCCTTTCTCTGTAGATGGAGATGTCCCAGGCTTTTTAATGGTGTTTCTGTCTGAAAAATCAGTGGGCCCCTGGAGAACTTTCTCTGCCCATTCCATTTCTTGCAAAATTTCTGTGTGTTTGCAGCTACAACTGTAGATGAAATTAGGGGAGGGGTTTTTGCTTGAGATGCACACTTTCATTTGCACTCTAAATATAGATCAGAGCTCATGCTTTGTGCAGTGCTTAAAACAGATCCCATAAACTGAGAACCCTTTTTAAGGTTCAAACTTTTTAATAAGAACATTTTCAGATAGCTCCTCACAGTTCCCCAAGGCTTGGGTGCATAAGATTTCCCAATTTTAACCAATTTAGCCCCTATACTCTGAGCTTGTAAACCAGCTCTTCCCAGTGAGATTGGCCTGAAGTTTCACAGGATGCTTTTTTATTTTAGTTGCTTGACCAAACAAACAAACAAACCAGTCCAGATGGCTGCATTGAGAGCTGCATAGTGTTTCTTTTTAAAGTTACAAAGGAGAGATTATCCACAGCATGGATTTTTAAGCCACTTCATTTAAAAACTGAAGGGCTGCATGTGAATTAGTTCCCTTTACTGCTTAGAACGCTAAAAATGCCTGAAATTGGATCAGATATTTGTATTTGAAAGTCAGTGGATGAGTAATCGCAGCAGGTAGGATATGTTCAGAATTGCTTTAAAGGACAAAGACAAATTCATGTTCTAGTCAATCGAGATACCACTTAAAAAGGACAGTGGTGGCTTAACAACTTGAGTTCAAGGTTGGAGTGTCTAAGCCATTTGACTGCTGTTTTCTCCCTTGGTGGAAACCCAAGCATGTTTGTGGCTTACAAAAAAACAAGATTATTGTGAAGACTCCAAAGAGACTCCTTTCATATGGTGACTTTCGCCTCCGTAACAAGCCCAGGCCTGCTGTAACTGAGCATTGGCCACCTTGGGTTTTGTGTCCAGCATGAAAGAAGGTCCCCAGGGGTGTGTTGCTCTTCACACCACTACGTTTATCTCCTCTGTGTTTGCCACCAGATTTTCTGCCTACTCCTGCTTGGTCTTAGGTGGACAAGTGTGTCTAAGTAGGGGTTCCTACTGCTGTGTAATCAGGCACCTCGTGCCAACTGGAGACTCTACTTTTATCTGAAGTGTCTAGATAAGTGACTCCTTTTAGCCAGGAATCTGTGGGCGTTATGAAGACCACAGATAGGATGCTGTTTTTCCTGGCCCTTGCTGCATAGTGGCAGCCCTGGAAAGCTGCTGGTTCCCTGTGCTGGGGTGGTGGGAGACTGAGCTTGCCCTTGATGCCAATGCAAGATCATTTCAAAAGAGAATTAAAAGAAATATTAACTGCAGTGTTTGGGGAGCTCTTTCAAGGGAGAGTTTTGCTGCATATTCAGCAAATGCAATGCAAACGCAACTCATGCCTCATTTGAGCAGACCGTTGTGAACTTGAGCTTGGAATCACATACCCTGCTTAGCTAAATATCGAGCAGACAAAGCTCTTGACACACTGCTTTTGAAAAAGCCTTGAATTTAGGCAGACACATTGCTTTCTGTGTTGGTGTGCTCGATTAAAACAAGAAAATCAAAGTGCACAGGCAGACTTTTTGGCATTTGCAAGGGCCTCCTGTAATCCTGCGGCTGCTTGGAGAAGCAGAGAGATGAGATTGGCACTTGGTTGTCAACTCTCCCTTGATGCAGATGCTGCAGATGAAAAGTGACCTTTCCTGGACCTGCTACAGAAGAGCCAGGTGCAAATTTTCACCGGGCAATTTGATGACTTTTCCTCACTCTTGTTGACTCAAGTTAGATCCTGATATTAACTAAGTAGAAGATTGTTGAGTTTTTTGAGCCTAACGCAGGGGGAATGGAGGAAAAAGTGCACTGAAACTTGTAGCCTCTGAGATTTAGATTTGTTTTGTGTGCGAGGTGGAGCGCTGTGTGGTTTTTATGATAAACGTCTATGTTTTGCATATCTCTTTCAGTCTATCAAAAATTTGTCATGGGGAAATACATCTGCATCCTGCATTAAGTGGTGGCAGCACAACTGTGATTTATATATTGCCTATATGCACGCAGAACCCCTGATCAGAGACGGGAGGCAAAACCGATGGAAAACACCCACTCGGCGACCAATAACTGGCTGTTCTCTCTCTCTCCTTCCACTTGCTCTCCTCCGTACAGCAACCACTTGAAAGGAAAGACAGCCAAAACAGTTCTCAGCACAGCGTCTCCAGCCACCGCAGCGGGCACACGGCGTCGCCCGTGCACAGCACGCAGGCGCTGCCCGACTACGCGGCCCCCGACGCGCCGCCCGCCGACCAGCCGGACAACCCTGGGCAGAAGAAGCCGGATCCGTTCAAAATCTGGGCCCAGTCCAGGAGCATGTATGAAAGCCGACGTGAGTATGAAACAGGTGTCGTTGCTACGGCTACGGCGCTGGCAGCGCGTTTGCTCTGCTGAGGGCTGCGTCTTTTACGCGTCTGTGGGAAATTCACGGCTTCGGTTTTGATGCTTCGGGATCTGCCCGCGATGCGACCGGTACCTGATGAGTTTAGATGGTCTCCAGCTAAAGGGCGCATTGACCCATTTCCCAAAAAAAAAAAAAAAAAAAAAAAAAAACCAAAACCCCAGCAAAATAATGTAAATATTAAATTCCATCTGCTTATTTTGTCTCTATTTTCATATTGGGTGAAGGAGACTTTCCAAGCTTGTTATGCAGATCCTTAACTATCTTTTCAAGGTGAAGGCATTGCTATGAATAGGAATTTCAGCGAGGAGGGGAAGTGTTTAGTTTGTTGAAATTCCTCTCGCATACTTGCTGGTCTCACTTCTCAGATGCAAAAATCCAGCTGAGCCCTTCGACTTCGACAAGTGTCGACCACTTTAACTGTATAGAAATCAAATGCAAATTGTAAACAGCTTTTATGGTAATTATTAATCTACACACTTGGCTAATAGTTCAGCAGGGCTTTGACTCTGCTCCAAGGGTACGGATATGCCTTCAATTTGTTTCTCCTCTGCAAGCAAAATAAGCATGCTAACTTCACTTTAATTATGCTGCTGAAGGTGGTAGAATCTGTAAAAGCTTCTTAAAGAATTAAAGAGTATTAGGTTCACACCCAGAAACAATAGCTGTTTTAATTATGGAAAAGGGACCGTGAAAGTCTTAGTGCTGTAAGGTTATAACCTGGAGTTTTTTTTCTTTGTGCTCACTGGAATTTGATAGAAGCAGTATAAAATGAACATTAACCGAGAATGGAAAATGTAGGGTTGATATTTATTTTTTTTTTCCTGGCCAAATGAATCACTTCTAAATCTTATGTCCTGGAAAAATTAAATCATGAGTCACAGTTTTCTTGGCTGAAGCTGCCTCTCTTTGGATTGAATGTCTCTGTCTCAGCAATGCAGTTTGTAGGTGTCTCTGCTTCTCTGTGCTGCTTTCTTTGCCTTTTCAGGGCTTAGCTGTATTCCTCACCTTGCAGGCTCTTGGGCCAGACCTACGGAGAAAAGCAGCGACCGCGCTTCCTCGCTGCCTGTGCACCTAGTTGAAATAGGAGAAAGGGGCAGAGAGCTGAGGCCCGGGGACTTTTCAATCCTGCAGAGCTCCTTCACCTGCCCCAGACTGCCGAGATCGAGGCCAGCCCGTGGCAACGGTATCACCTTCGTGCAGCTGGAGCTCTTCAGCTCGCTCCTTGCAGCGGGGTCCCCACAGGCACCGTGTTGTCGTTGTCTCTGACCCCCCTCTGCCTATTTAGCTAATTTCTAATTAACTGTTTAACTCGTACTAATTAGTCATTAGTATTAGCTTAGCAGTCCTAACTCCTGCCTGTCTTTCCTGATAAAAACCTGAGGCCGAGTGAGAGAAGTCTTCCATTGCACATTGAAGCTGTTGCCTTTCTGGGTCCCTCTCCAAAACAATGTGAGAAATGGTGGCTCTTTCCTCGGTACCTCTAGGTATCTCATAGAGATTTTAGCCTTGTCTGTGAGTAGAGCCCTTCACTAGAGCCTTCTGCTGCTCTCCTGGCACTCTGGTTACCCAGGTCCAAAGTCTACCAGTGTCACAGTCCTCTTGACACTGTGACACTGGACCATGAGATTGTTGCTTGGGGCTTTTGCTAGAGCATCTCATCTGCTGCCACACTGCAATTCTTTAGCATCCATCCCCAGTGCACTCTGTTGCGTGCCATGGTCCAGGAGCTCTGGGTGGAGGGATTTAATCCTCTTCTGTTGCTTTAATCCTTTTCTCCTGGCTCTTCTGCCAGATGGAACCTGCCCGTTTGGACAATGGTGCCTGTTTACCTCCCTTCACAGCTGTTTTCTACCCAGGAGAGAGTTTCCTAGAACTGCTTGATTTCATACACAGGGAGATCTTGTAGACTGACAAAAGCGAGATACGGTGATGCCTCCTAGTAAGCACCGGCCACCAGAAGTGTCAGAGCCCATAGATTTCAGATCCTAAACTGAAATGAAATATGCCCCTGAATATTAACTTGCCCTCTTACCTGTGACTTGGATCTCCTGAACCTAATGAAAAGTGAAGAAAAAGAGGAAGGATGCAGTCCAAGTTGAAAGGGCCAGTGAAATTGCTGTATATCCTGTTGCAGTCGGATCACAAAGTGCAACTGGTGCTGCTGTTTAGAAGTCAGCAGTTGGTTCTCGCTCCTTTCCCAACCAAGCGCTTACCTGCTGTCCCTGTACTTGGTCTCTGATGATGATGATGAACAGTGTGTGCTTTGCTTGTCCTCTGCCTGGGGAGCGTGGCATGAGCTGCAGTGTTTCTTGCCCTCCCTTTGGTCTGCCAGGACAGAAACGGGCAGCTGGTGGCTGCTCTGTTATGAACATGCGTCATCCCTGAAACTTGCTTCCCAGTGATGCTCAAGCACTAGGTGCATAGCCCTTGGTCTGGCCTTAGGGAGCACTGTAGACTGCAGGATGGGAGAAACCTCCCCTGGAACTCCTCTCTTGCTGTTTGTCTGTTCCATGTGTGCTCTGCTTTGTGCTTTCCACTAGTTGCAGCCCATTTTAGCTTCTTTAGGTCCCTCCTTTAGCTGGCCACAATGCAAGGATGTAATGGTTTGTTCTTTATTTGAGAACCATTTTGACTTTGTGACTTAAGTTAGCATGTCTTTCTCCCTGTTATCCATAGCTTTGGATCCTAGGTCTCTCTCTGTAATGAAAACATCAGCAGAACATAAATGAATAGCTGATGTAGAGAGGGGGGTGTTCCTCTAGCAGCTGTGCTGAGGTTGGCTGAGGCATCCTTCAGCCTGGGCTTTTGGTGAGTCCCAACAAGTCTTTATTGCCTGAGAAGCTCCAGACTGGTGCAGTCCAAGACTTCCCATCACTTGATTCTTTGCCTTGTGTTTGATGAATCTGAAAGGAACAAGACAACTTTCTTACCGGGGACTCAAAACCCTGTTGCTCACAGGTGGACTGAAAAACAGAAGCAGTCCTTTATATCAAAGTATATGATGAGGCTCAGGAAGGCAGAACTTTAGGTTATGAAATTGTTCTCAATGCTTTATTTAGTCCTGTATCTGAAATCATGGAATATAAAGAGAACATAATGCATTTTTTCAAGTATAGTTGACGCAAAAAGAGGAATTCATTAGCCATAACGCAGCCAGATTTTTTAAAATCTAAAAATAATAAAGAGATTTAATTCAGTATATGAATAGCATATTCTCTAGGATGATTCTGAAAAGTACTGGATCTGTAATGGCCACCTGCTGCTTTTCTGACTAGGAGTTCAGCCCATTGTTATTAATGGTAATAATGCAGACATTGAAGGCACACAGGCAACATCTTAATTTTCAAAATTGGTAAAATGTGTTGTGCTTTTCCTATTCTTTGGATACATGAATCATTATTTAATAACAAAGGCTGTATTTGACATATGTGACTTGTCTCATTGAAGCCACTGGAAAAGCAGAATTTTATTCAGAAGTGCCAAATAGCCTATAGTAATGTGAAACCATCCATTTTTTTGATGTACCCAAAGCATCTGAGATTAAGGAAGAACACAGAATCTGAGGAGGAGAGCAGCAGACATTGCCTGCTAAAAATATACATAAACATTTAAATATATAAAGCTAGAATTAATAATGCAAAGCTGAGAAAAGGCTCCATAATTTCTCTCTGGACTGTGGTTGAGTAGCAGCAGATGAGAACAGCAACTTTATTCAGTATATACAGGCCAAAGTTCCTGCATGGAGCTCTGCCGGGTGAGGGCATCAGGGCTGCAAGGTGCTGAGTGCTTTGGCTCTGGGCCAGCAAAGCTTAATTTCAGGCTGTAAACCCAAAGGGACGAGGATGCTTTAAAGCTAAGACTGAGCTCAAATGCTCTGCTGCAATCTGGCCCAGGGTCACAATACTTTGCCAGATTAAGACTTGAAAGAATAGAGAGCTTTGTGTTGAGTGAATCTGAAAACGAATCATTGGGTGGTGATAACAAATGTACTGTTGGCTGGTGCTAAGTCTTAGCTGCCTGAGCTCCTCTTTATGGGTAACTCATTACTGCTAATGGGAGTTGTGCGCATGAATCAGAGAGAATGACGAACCCTTAAGGTTCAGAAAATGGACTGGTTCCAAGATCTTGGAATTACATATGTGGAGAGCAAGCGCTCAGTGAAAGAAACAGTAATTGAATAGTTTACCCGAGAACCACAATTCCAACATCTTGTACTGCTTTATTGAAAATATATTTTTATAATATGCTCTTTATTTTTCAATGTATTATTAAACTTCCTTAAAGATTAGCACAATCTGTTGTCAAATTTTTCTCATGTGGCCTGATTGCATTGCAAAATTCCGTATCCTACATATGGCCATCTGTCAAAACAGCAGTGACAAAATGAATTAATCTGAATTGCAGATGTGTTAATGAATCCCTTTGAAGGGCTTAAGCATTTAATTAAAAGTAAAGCAGAACACTATAGATAATTTTTAAAGCTTTTAAAATATTCTAAGTTATCTTTAATATTTGCATTTTATTTTCAGGCACATAATTTATTTCATAGGATTTTCGCTCCCCAAGTCTAATTAAAATAATACAAACAAAGCTGACCTAGTGTTTAGCATTTACTCACCATCAATTACAAAGAATTAAGAATATTTGCACAACGACACCAATCGTTAGATACTTTCTCCCTAAAACAAAAAAGTACTCTCAGGAAATTTCCAGCTGCCTTCTGATCAGGCTGACTTTAAAGATGATAGTTGAAAGCCCTTTGTAGGGTCATCTTCTTTTATTATGTTAAAGTGACACAAACAGTTATAATCAGACACTCGGGCACACAGATGTGCCCATACCCTTGGAGAACGTTGGGTTTAAAAGGATCTTAATGTTTGCAGCGTGTTGCACGAGTGGGAAAGGCTGCAGTCGGACCTATAGGGGTGCTGGCGAGTGCCCCTGGCTGCTGTTTGACCATCATCAGCTTCGAGCCAAGCTCAGCCAAGGTGTCGAGTGGTTCCTATAGTTTGGTTTCGCTCCTTGTAATGCACTTTTGTCTCCCTATTAAGGATGTGCTGACACTGTATTTCAAAAATTTCCCATGCATCTAGAGGGCAGATTAATGGGAAAAGAAAGGAAAAATAGATTTTGCTGCGGTCAGATAGTCTAGCAACTGGGACTCTCTTGGGACTATGGACTCTCATGAGATCTGTGGCTAAAGCGCAGAAGTTTCTGACAGTGAAACTCTTCATTGGCTTCAGTGGGACTAGTCACTCATGATTTCAAGCATATTCTGATGTACTTTGCTGAATCCGAGCCTTAAGACTTTTGTACTTGCCAAGCTCTGAGTCACTGAAAGTGTTGCTGCCTCAAATGAGCTGGTGACTATAGCAAACTCATTCTATAGATTATTTTTGTATCCATCTTTTGTTGAAACTGATATCGCACTGGGCAAGAAAAAAACAACTTTTTATGTAACACATAAGATAATGGCTAAGGTTTGTATAGTAATTAAAGTGACCTCTAATTGAGCACCCTTTTCATTGTTCATCTGTTTCTTTTAGCTTTAGAGAAAGAGATTTGCGCCTTGGAAAACTTACTGTGCTGTGATGTTGAAAATTGTTTTGTAGAAACCTCTTTTTAAGGTGTTCTCAAAGAGATTCCTCCTTCAAGGAGTAATAATTGTTGTTCTCATATACTTGCATGTGTGTGCATAAATGTATAAATTCACATGTGTGTACATATTATGTAGCCACATGTATACAAATGTGTAAGTAGATGTAAAAGTTAGTATGTCCTAACCCATAGTAGTTATAACCTTAGCAGTTAAATGCATGCAAGCGTAACATGATCCATACTGTGAAAAGTAAATTACTGAACTAACAAGAAAGCAAGATACCTTAAGCTTTGCAAAACTGTAAAATTAATATTGCAGCTATGTCACCTTCGCCTGCAGCTGGACTGAGCAAGGGTGAAAGAGAGAGAGAAATCAATTCCACGAGTTTTGGAGAATGTAAGACCGAGCTGAGAACCTCTCTGTGTCTTGTGGTGTCCCACTGTGGTGTCGTTGGTGCTGTGTGACGGGAGGGCCGCGTGTCCTGGGCAGGAGGGCAGGGCCACGTGCCAAGGTTGGCTGCCAAGGTGTCAAGTCCTCACTTCACGCCATGCTAGATGTAGTAGACGGTGGGAGGGGATCGTGTTCCCATTTCATTCGTGAATCTGCTCGCTGCAGGATCACGTCACTCACCGCCGGGTCCATTTCTCTTTGTGGGCTTTGCAGAACTCTTCTTACCACTTTTGCGATGCTACCCAAACCATCTGTTTATTTAAAAAAATAAATATATATAGGTTTTAGACATTTTCTTCAAAAGGGCAAAGTTGTAGTGACTGGCTTCTGGAGGCTGTTTTTCAGTGGTTTTCAGCATAAAGTTTGAGCACCACCATGAAAATTTCCATTTGTCTTAAGAGAAGCCACTTTCTGGTCATAACTAAGGAAAGTGACTCCTCTTAAATCCCATTGAATAGCAGGGACTAACCAAGAGGTCCAACCTTGGCTTTATTGAAGCCCTGGGATGGTTGAGCTTTTGTTAGCAATCTAGACGGTGCCACTGAATCACTGTATGGTTGAACTGGAGCAAAAGCAGTAAAAGGAGTTTTGTTGGGCTTGTACTTGTGTCATGTTTGTGTCTGTACTGTCTGTATGTTCATTTTACCTGTGTTTCACCTGCCTGTAGTCCTCCCATTGGAAGGAGCATTACATGGATGAACCTGCTTTTTTGGGGGGATAGACCAGTCTTTCTGTTGCTTTGGTTCAATCCTCCAGCTACATGTAGGCTTGCTGTTGTCTCCACTGGCCATGAGTCAGCTAGTTGGTTCCCTGGATGAGGAACATAAGCCTGGAACATGAGTTGACAAGTGGGAAGGTGTTGAGCCATGCAGGGACAATGAGCCCATGCTGGAGCTCTCTGACAAAGCTGTTTTGCCTCCAGCAGATCCAGCACACATTCTTAATTGCTTTGGGCCTGCCTTTTCCAAAAAAAGCCTGTGAAGTGCTGGAGAGACACTGTGGCCAACCCTGATTGATTCACTGTCTCTGTTGTGTTGTTGTGCCCGAGGTCCTTGCTATGGCAAATTGCCTTCAGGCAGCTCCTCCTGCCTGATGAGCAGTGCAGGCTTCCAGGCTGTTTATCACCTGATTAGGCTGTAATTGCGTTTGGAGGGAAATTAGCCTGTAGTTTGGTAAGGTAATGCATAGAGATCTCAAGCTTCGTTTATAACTGCAAGCAATTAAAATGGGAAGATGGCATGTGAAAAGATGGTATATAAAATTATTGGCTATAAACTGGACTGAATGAAAATGTCAAACCAGACGTCTGTGCCTTAGCACTCACCTGCTCTTTTAATTTTGAGTTTTCCCTGATCTTGAATTCATATTATGTTTTAAGCCTATTGGTGAGTCACTAAAGAGATCGAATCAGACTCAGGCAAATGTGTGAAGCTGGGAAGCCCTGACTGACCCCAGCAAGCCCGGACCTTTGCACAACAGGCTCTGGTGGCGTAAAAAGCAGTCGGGGCCCCCTCTGACACTCGCTCATGTCAATGGAAGAAAACAACTATATCTGCACAGCAGTTTGTCTGCTCTGGGTATTGAAAATTAGCTCCTATCTGGCTGGAAGAGTTGCTTCCTGAATCTGAGTGTGCACTTACTTAAATTATATTTCTGAAAGATATAGTTTGGTTTCTTCGCTATACAGGCTGGCTGTAAAGGCTTGTAAAGGAATAGCTTTTTCTCTCATTAATTATAAATTTGGGGAGGAGATTATTACAAAATTAGTCAATGTTGCAGTTACCAACCAATAAATATTAAATGAGCCTCAAGTTGTCTTCTGATATGATTTAATGTTAGCAATTAATTTTGCATTTTCAAAAGAGGGATGAAAGCAAGCATGAATAAGTTAATATAAAACATTTCCGTTCAGCTCCGCTTCAAGGTTAGTGCCTCACTGTATGTAATATTCATTGTAAAAATCTTGCTGGTGTTCCATACTAATGAGTAGGTAAGGTCGTCTCTTTTTCTTTCCAGCTGTTCTTGTCTGTTCAGTGGTTTTACAAAACCCCATACATGAGCAAATGGAAATTGGGAGAGCTGCATTGTATTCAGTAAGCCCTGATTCACACCAGTTGGGGGTCTGGCCCACAGTTATTTAAAGCAATGTCAATAGCAGAGAGTAAACTATGCTCATGAAAGTTAATTAAATAGTAGAAGTCGTAACAAGTGGCTCTTTTGTCTCCCATGAAAGAGGAGGCAGCTGCATTGTTTCTGGCAGAGTGATTCTCAGTTCTACATATTTGTTTATTGATGATTTGGAAGAGGCTTTTGCCTTGGATAGAAGTGCTAGAACTGATGGAGCTATTACAGTAAGGAAATAATGGAAAGACACAATTAAGCACCTACTAGTAAGTAGAAAACATCAGGTAATTGTGGGTAGTAATCTAAGTAATAGCATAGCAGAGATGGTGGCAGAGGGAGCATCAGACTGTGCTTTTCCAAAATGTTAACTTTTCCTTCTTTCTCTTCAGTTCCAGATTATCAAGAGCAGGATATCTTCCTTTGGAGGAAGGAAACTGGCTTTGGATTTAGGATTCTTGGTGGAAATGAGCCTGGAGAACCAGTGAGTGCATCTGAGAGCAGGCTTATTTTAACTTGTGACTTATTCCGGAGTCAGCACAGTGCCATGTGCAGATGTGCTGTTCTGCGCTGTGGCATCTGTGTTAAAATAGTCACTGAGCTATGAATTTACATCCTGCAACTCCTTCCCTTCTCCCCACCAAACAAATGACCAAAGCCCGAAACTTAAAATGGGTTTGAAATCACTTGCCACTGCCTGTTTTTGTGATAGCCCAAATGAAAACATGTAAATTAGAAATTTTCCAGCCAAAATGCCTTTTCCCTTTTTTGGAAAGAGAAGGCACAGATTCCTACAGTGCCGGAGTAACTTCACCGAACTCCCTGAAGATAAACCAAAGCCGACTTTGGGATGACGTTCAGTCTGGAAATCCTAGAGGTAGCTGAAAGGCTAACTCAATCTCAGCATCCCTGACAACATTCAGCTTCTTTTAAATATCTTCCGCCCCTTCTGCTGGAACACATTTCCCAAGGCTGGCTGTCATTTGAGTGAGTAGACTGCTTAAAGAAGCAGAATGTCAAAAAGACAGTATTTTTATTACAATTTTCATGTTATGGGCAGTGTCCTGGTCTGTAGGGCACATGAAGCTGCTTCCAGAGGAGCAAATCGACTAAACAGCAGGCATTAGTTAGCAATTTGTGGTTGCTAATAAGTTGGGTATGAATATCAGCCCCCTTGTTGCCAACTGTCTTATGAGCATATTCTCACGTTTTCTTTTTCTTGTTCTTTTTTTTCCTTTCTTTATCCCAACTCAACAGATCTACATCGGTCACATCGTGCCGCTGGGCGCTGCGGACGCGGACGGCCGCCTGAGGTCGGGTGACGAGCTCATCTGTGTGGATGGGACACCCGTTGTTGGGAAATCGCACCAACTTGTTGTCCAGCTTATGCAACAGGCAGCCAAGCAAGGTCATGTCAATCTGACCGTAAGGCGCAAAGTAGTTTACACAGGTAGGCTGCAGTGTCGTGTGGCAGGCATAGATTTTCTTGCCAATCCCCATCTGTTCAGCAAATGGTTTAAAGTGCAACTGTTCCTCCAGTTCCTCCTTGTCATAATGACAAACTCAGGGGAAATAAGGTTTTTCTCTCTCTTTTGACAATTGTTGGCTTTTTTCCTTCTTGGACAAAAATGTTTGGAATATTTTGTTTCTAGGCAAGACACTCAGATGTCTTCTCCAGTCTTTATGAAGGTTTCTAGCAGAGTTGGGAGACATTTATTTGCAACGCGTAGATTCTCTTTTGGACCTTTGCAAGAATAGACTTTGCACTTACCTGCATGCCCATGTCTTGCATTTTTTTCCTAAAATAATTTTGCTGCCTCATAGCCCGGGATGAGGAAGAGATGCTGAAGAGTCCACAGGAGGGAAGGCAAAGGAAAAGAGGGAGAACATGGCTGAGTGTTTAGTAGTGTCCCAAGCAGAAAAGAAGCTTCATTGAGTTTGTACAACATGCATCACTAAAGTCAACTAACTGTAGGATATGAAACTGGAGGAAAGCAGTGTTGGTTCTGGAGGTTCAGGGACTGCATGGGTGGTTGTAATACACGGGTTTCTGTTTTTGCACATACCACAAAAGAAGCACCGACAGCCTAAATAGACCAGAGAGAAGCTGGCAGAAAGATGAAGGTGCAGAGAGAAGTGTCACTTCAGTCACTTCATGGTGGTGCCCTCCCAACTAGTGACACAGAAATGTCCTAATAGCCAAGCAAATGACATAAATTTGAGCTTTCTGAAGTTACGTATTTTATAGGAGAGTAGCTTCTGATGTTGTTGGCCAGTTTAGGAAGTTCAAGCTGGGGTCTATATTTTCCAAAAAGAATGAACATGAGGTAGTTATTCAAGCGTAGGCATCCATAAAAAAATGAATAGTGATGTACCTCAAGCTTAAAGGCATCAAAAGAACATTTTTGTTGAAAACTAGGCCCACAGTGGACGTTACTACTAGAACAGTGGTTCTGAAATAACTGTAAGGCTGGGTTCCTTCCAGACAATGTAAAGCAAATACTCATTTCTTCTTTCCATTGTGGATTCAATACTGGGTTATGTCTTTGCTCTGTTAGCAGAGGAGAATTACAGGAGCATCCTGGTGCTTTTGTTATTGCTGTCAGAGAGCTGCCCATGTGAGAGCACAAAAATAGAGATGGAACTTGGTAGGAAAGGAAGAGCAGCTGAATTTTTGGTGGTATTTTTGTACATAGTTTTCTTTCCGCTTTTAAAAGCTCTAGGCTGGGAATTATCATAAAAAGATTTAGATGCATGAGATGTTGGTGTAAAGCCTTGAAATTCAAGGGCTTGTAACTCCAGATGAGCTGTTTCAAAATCATTTCAAATATGGATGGTTATTTTGGGATAAATTACTCATTTTGTATTCATAAGCCTTTGAAGCCCACCATAACTTTTTAGACAAGCCTTGTCTTCAAATTTGGCCTCTTATTTTTCCTCTCATCTACATGCTGGTAGGAAAAGATTATTAACCTTAAGAGGTTCTCACTGTTCTGAAGTTCATATAGGGGAATATTTATGCTTTTGAGTTCCTAATATGTAGAATATTGTGGTTTTAACGCATGTTCAAAGTATGTAAGTCCAGACAGGTAATTCTTTTTCAGGAGTATTTGAAAATCTGTTCCCTTGGACCATGGGCTTGCAGGTTTCGATTTTGTGCTTGGCTCCGATTTTCTGGTTGCTTTTAAGATCTTCAACCCAATCTTGATTCATCAGACGAACTGGCAAAATGACCTGATTAACAGAGGCAGCTGTTCGATAGGGACAAGAGCACTGTGCTGCTTTTAGCTGCACAAAGGGACTGTGGGGACCTGGCTGGATAACAAAAAGCAGAGATTATTGTGGACCATAAGCTTTACCTGAGCTACTCCCTGACAAAGAAGAACCCTGCTGGGATGCAGACAGGGAACAGCTCTCCTGATTTCCCATCAGGAGGATGGCTCAGCTGCAATATGGTCCAGTACATTATGAAAGACGTGTTTGAGTTGGAGAGGGCCCAACTGGAGGGAGTCCAGAGGACCAGTGAGAATAAGGAGAGCTCTAGAAAACATGGTCTGCAAGGAAATATTGAACAAATTGGGATTGTTTAGCCTAAAGCAGAGAAGGGGGTGGAGGTGTTAAACTCCCCAAGACTCTAAGAGGCTGCTGCAAAGAAGGAGGGAATAATATGTTCTCCATATGCCTGCTAGATGGATGTAGAAATAATAGCCTTATGTTGCAGCAGAGATTTGAGTTAGATATTGCAACCAATAGATTGCCTGGGGAGATATTTAACAGCAGATTAGACAAACATCTGTCAGGACTGACAGTAAGTATAGATGGCCCTGACTCAAGCAGAGTGTAGACTAGATGATTTTTTTGAGATTCCTTCAAGCCTTGTGGTAGTTGATTAGATTTTATACTAATACCACATGCAAGCTCAGTTGCTGTGCAACAGTTGTGATATGTTTAAAGGCTCCCCCAAAACTCTGCTACACAGGACAGGTGATAGTAGGTGGTTCTTAGCTTAGTTTGCAAGTGTCTTTGCTATCTTGTAGGTGGTTATTATTACTGTTTAGAACAGATCATGCTAAAGGCAGTCAGTGCTGTCTAACTGATAGTGTTGAGTAATACATAGGTGCTAAGAAGGGGATAGCTGTGTAATCTAATGTAATCAAGGTTTAAAGAGCTAATGTAATCAAGGTTTAAAAATGTCACAGATGCAGGCACGTGATGCTGCACTGGTCTAGCTGTATTGCTGTGATGGTTGCAGCAGTGAGTGGCATTGATTGTACACTCTGTGTGCTGGGAGCACCAGCATGTGTGGTCCGTGGTATCACCTGACAGAGCTGTCAGTGGTGGTGTCCAAGAGCCCTTTCTCCTTCTGATCCTGATCCGTAGGTGAAAGCTCGAGATCATTAATTTTCCCAGGCACACAGAGTTTTTCCAGCAGGAAACACCACAGGCTGCTCAGCACGAACGTGCTTTTTATTCCTCCCCTAGTTCCCAAGGCAGAGAACGAAGTCCCGTCCCCAGCCTCCTCCCACCACAGCAGCAACCAGCCGGCGTCGCTGACGGAGGAGAAGCGGACCCCGCAGGGCAGCCAGAACTCCCTCAACACCGTCAGCTCGGGCAGCGGCAGCACCAGCGGCATCGGCAGCGGCGGCGGCGGCGGCAGCGGCGTCGTCAGCACCGTGGTGCAGCCCTACGACGTGGAGATCCGCCGTGGCGAGAACGAGGGCTTCGGCTTCGTCATCGTGTCCTCCGTGAGCCGGCCAGAGGCAGGGACGACGTTTGGTGAGTGCCCATCCGGCTGCTGGCCGCAACGGAGACGCGCTGTAAGGCTGCAGGCGAGGCACTGTGTAATTGCACTTAATGAGCAGGTCCTGATTTATGCAATTCTGAGTGCAGGTGGAGGTTGGGAGTTGGTAGGTGTTGCATGCTGGGCTTAGCTCAGCACAGTCAAGAAGCACCAAGTGAGAGCCTTGAACCTGAGGAGCAAACTGCCACCTCTGGCCATTCCCAGTGTTGCCTGAGCTCGCTGTGCGGCACGTGGCTGCCCGGCGAGCTCAGTGCCCACAGGGATTTGCTCCAAGGGATTCCCCCAAAGCTGGAGCGCTCGCTAGCGTGGGAAGGGAGTGAGTGCAGTGGGTTACATCTCTGGGTCCTGGATTGGAGCCAGTTGGGTTAAAAGCAGTAATGCTTAAACTGATTAACTTCTCTTTGGCAGTCAAGGTTATTCTCCTGATCCTCATTATGGGGTAAGCATGCTGCTAGCTGGAAAGTTTTAATTAGTGGTGCTTGCTGGTGAGACATGCAGTGGAGAATATTGTTAAAAGAACAGGTCTGCTCCCTGACCCCTCGCCACCTTGTGTCTCCCCTTCGCAGACTCCTTTCTTTAGAGCAGGGAGAATCAAGAATTTCCTGCACCAACACATTTAGTGTGCTGCCTTAACAAATCAGTCACGGCTTCTTGCTGTAGACAGCCCTTCTGCTAGGCAGACATCCATTTCAGGTGCAAAAGCAATGCAGTTCTGCCTACAGAGCAAATGAACCATAGTTGAGAAGCACAAATAAGCTGGGTTTGCCATTATGCCCAGCACGGCCTGCACTAGAGCATAAATGTCACTGCGGCAGGGGAAGCAGCTCCAGCTGCCCTTTTCTTCTCTACCTGTCTCTGCTTCAAGGGCCAAGGGCAGTGTCTGCTTTTACATTGTAGGGGAAGAAGAAGGTGCCCCCTTCCTCTTGGTCTGTGGCATGTGGAAAGGGGAAGAAGGAAGGTATCTTTTATCATGGTACCTTTAGAAGCAGAGTGGTGTTTTGCAGGCAAAATACATTGCAGTTTCCCTGTATGTCCTGCATGTTCCTGGAGGGTGCATGTGGCAAAAATCGCCTTACCTGCTTTGGTCTAGACTTTTTTCCTCGGAAATTTCCTGCTGTTGCCCACCACCAGTGGCCTTGCGTTAGTTAAAGCACTAACAATTACAGGATTGTTGTTTATGGGAGATGAGCTATCTCTAACACTGTTCTGGGCAGTTATAATATGTAGTGTAGATTCGGTGCATCACACTCTGTCTGTTCTCTGCAGCTAGGCCACCTTGCACTGTCCTCGTTCCTTGAAAGTGCTCTTCCAGAACAGGTATTTTGGTGCCAGCACACAACAGCACACTGCAATATTGATTAAACTGAACTCGGTCTAAATTTTCTGAAAGCATTTGATAATGTGTGTACAAATAATTTTTACTGGATAAGGAACATGCTTTAACTGTTCTCTGCAAGAAAGCTTTGACGTGAGATTGTAGAGAGTTGTGTTTGCTTTAGCCCAAGATACTGCCTAACTGGAAGTTATTTGTGCAGGGGTTCCTCGTGGAGATCGGTTGATCTGCAACTGTTTTTCCTTTATTTTTTTTTGAGTGTGCTCAACTTTTTCATAAATCTCTACATGAGATGCATTCTCTCTGCTCTGTGGTGCTTGCTTTGCACTTGCTTTGAAGTTTTTTCTCTTTTGTAGGTAGTATTTAGAGATGGGCCAGGCTGCTTCTAAAACCCACCTTGGTGTGGACTTCAGTCATCTGGGTCCACTAAATTGGACAGAATAGAAACTCATTTCAGATGCCCTCAAAACAGCTCTGAACTGGATGGGTCACTGTGTTATCAGAAAGAGAAACTGCCTAACATTAGAGTAAAAGCAAAACAAATCCCCCACCATCTGTGATTAATATTAGCACATTTTGCCGATTTTCATTGTGTCTTTCTAACTTTGTTCTTTCGCCTCATATTCCTTTCCGTAGCCTTTACTTCTTTATAGTCTTTTTGGTATTGTTATGCATGCAGCAATGTATATCTCTAAAACTACTAGTCAAATAAAAGATTACAGCACACGGGGAAAGTGCACCTTAAGGGTGAATGTGTTGTGCATGTGAGGTTTGAGATGATCACTCTGCAAGTCTCATGCTTCTCATCATGTGCTGTGCACTAAGGGGCCCTTACCCATGTAGGGAAGCCCTATGAAAACCCAATGGATTTATCTGATTTGAGTTCTCTATGTCCTGCATCCCAGTTCTACAGATATTGAGGAAAACCCCCTCATTTTGGGGCCAAGCAATTATGTGGAGTTTTGACTCTGGCGCACATTCATCCCTAAGTGCTCTCACTGTGTCTGTTAGACATCTCAACCATTTTGCGTGTGGTTTTAGAGGTATTTCTATCAAGTGGTCCTTGCTCCTTCCCTGCTCCCATCCCTGTGCCATCTAAGATCAATAAAGGGGATGGGCTCACGGGGCTGCGAGGTGGAGGACTGCACCAAGCTGCTTGGCTTTGTCAGTCTTGGCCCATCCCGTGTGGTCCCGTACCCTACCCAGTAGTTCCTTTATTCCCAATGGGAGAAAAGCAAACAAAAAAAAACCCTTATTTCTTACTGCTTCCCCATGCAGTGCTGATAGATTGGGTCTCCATGCTAGAAAGGGAGCCGTGTTCCCTCCTAGGCCTAGAGTGATGGTATCTTTCTAAACTGAGAAAGAACAAAACATTGGCAGAAGCTCCAAAAGCAGTTGTCTTAGAGGAAGACTAGAGATGTTGACATGTAATCTTGGGGGAGGAAGGTTATGTTTTGGAACAGCAGGTCTTTTTTTTTTTTTTTTTTTTTTTTTTTGGTTCAAAAATAAAATCAGGATTGAGGTTATTATGGGGCTGCTGAGTGCAGTTGTAGGCTTTAAAAATGTCACTGTTTATTAACAGAAATCAAGCATGTCGGAGGAGTTGATGGATTAACAAAATACTTTTTTTGTAAAAGAAATAAAGTATTGTGCACTCATGCTAGTTGATTGCCAATGTTTTGAACACTGGCAGCAAAGCTATCCTATAATAACTTTTGCTTGATGCATTAATTAATTAACCCTTAACCTTCTCTTTCCCTTTTCAACCCTTTTTCTCCTTTTCCCCTTCACCCTATTCCCATGTATGTAAACAAATTAAAAACCAAACCAAAACAAAAACAATCCCCAAACCAATACAAAAGCGGGAAATGCATGTGTGGCCATGCCTCACAAAATAGGTCGGATAATTGAGGGGAGTCCCGCAGACCGCTGTGGCAAGCTGAAAGTAGGAGACCGCATCCTGGCCGTGAATGGGTGTTCCATCACCAACAAATCACACTCGGACATCGTCAACCTAATTAAGGAGGCGGGAAACACCGTGACTCTGCGCATCATTCCAGGAGATGGTAAAGTACATGTTTGCTGATATTTTAGCTTGGGCACCCCGTTGCTTTCTTCCTCGTCTTTTTTGCTTTGGTCGGAGCTGTAGTCTTGGAGAACTCCTTTCCCAACCCTCTTTGGGAATTAGCGGTGGCTGAGGTTGTGCAGACTTTTTTTTTGTTGTTGTTGTTTTATATAGGGAAGTCCCATTTTAAACAGAGGGATGATCATTGACCGTATTTAAAAAAAAAAAAAAAAAAGTTTCCTTTCTTATCCATATTCCTATCCATATTCCTACAAGTGTCTCCATAAGATGACCTTCTGTAAATTCTCAATCTGAGTATTTCTGGATTGTATTCTTAGGTTAATTACGCAGCATTAGATTATTTGGGAATAGTTGAATTGTTGCACACTTAGTAACGCGTTAGAATCCTGAAGCCATCTATGCGTAAGCAACATAGTAAAAGACATGACAGAAAGACATAAAGATATTGTGGTGTTTTAAGCTTCTGGAAACGGAGATTGGTTCTTTTCTCTGGTTGTGTTGCTTTGGAGGTGATCTCAGCACGTTTTGAGATTTGACATGCACTAGTTGTGGAACTGCTTGCTCACTTGCAGCTGTTTTAAAACTTGCTGTTTTAAGTTTTAAAACTTCTTAAAGTTCTGAAACTGTGAAACTTGCATTATTAACAATTATCTAAGACAAGATTGCATTATTTTGGAACAGAAGGAATGGTCCTGTACTCTACTATCATGCTAACAGTTGAGAGTAGTCTATAGATCATGGAATTGAGTAATAAAAATAAGGATCTGCATTATCTATCAGTTTGCTCCAAATCATCCCTAGTTATGTTGCTAAATAGGAACAAAGCACAAGGATATGAAAAAATACGTATCTGTAGCAGAATTAAAAACACTGTTGTTCTAAATTGTAAATATTTTGTTGTTCTTTGTCCTTTTCTGCCGTAGACAGCTCAGTAGTGGGAGCTTGTTTGGCAGAAATCCTCTATAAAATTTGATGGCTTAGATGCAGTGTGCGTTTTTTTAGACTTATACAGGGCATTATTTGCAGTCTAGGAAATTTTGATTAAATGTAGGGAAAAAAAAAAAAAAAAAAAGATCTAGTTTGAAGGACATTAAGAAAAATGTTCCCCCATAATGAAAGCCCTTGGAAGGAGACATTTTCATTCAGACGCCTGGTTTTGCTGTCACTCCGTATATATGAACAAGTGCCACTGCACTTAACACTCCCCAACAACTACAGGGAATTTATGAATTGAACCTGGTATCTCCAAAGCAGGATGTAGAAGTTATTTGATTTCTAGTAAGAAACGCTCAGTAGTTCCCTAATATCATACTTGCTCGGACTGCTGCTATCTGAACCCATGATTATTTTATGTTTAGTTACAGGATAAAAATAATCCAAGGCCAGGAATGATCCAATTATAAGTTATTTTTGTTTATGATGATCTATTTTGCACGAGGGTTTTATTTTCCTGCTGTCTAAGGGCTTCCGGGTCTAATGGTACCTGATCCAAGGCTGCTTCCAGCAGATTGAGTGTTTATGAATAATGAATTGGCTGTAAATCAGGCAAATGTCTGATCTGGCCTCTGTGCACCAATTTTGAAAGACAAACTGGGAGAAATATTTATATTATATGTCTCTGTGTGTGTGTATATATATATATTTGGCATCTGATTAAAATGGAGGGGGTGGAATCTTTGAATAAAAAAAGGAATGATTTCTAAATTGTTTAAGAGTATTTGTGAGATGTAGGCTCCTTCTATGAATGCTCAACTAGCTTTGTTCATACCAATAGATGTACAATATACCATGGCAAGCTGCTTAGGTTGGAATACGTAGCTAAAGCTGCAACTGGTGTTGGGCATTCCTAGTGAAGGGAATGGTGGAAAGCAGGTGGAAAGTTGTGGTTTAAGGAGTTGCACACATTGCTGAGAAGTTTGCTTGAAAACCATGAGATTTAAGAAATTAGTGTCTTGGGCTTTCTTTGGTAAATCTAACAACTCTGAAGAGTACTTGAAGAAAAATAAGAATATATTGGAAGCTAAACTTCTCAAGCAATGAGGAAACTAAGGTTCGTCATGAGACTGACAATAAGCTTATATTGTTAAACTCTTTTAAAGTTATTAAAAATACCAACTCTTTGCTAGGTAATAGTCTTGCACCAACTCATTCTGCCAGGCCCATGTATTTGCAATTAAGTTACAGTGGCTCAACATGCCACCAGCTGATGCAATGATACAGAGAGCCTAAAAATTGTCAACTTAAATTAGGCACTTAACTGGTGTCTGAAGTATTCTAGGGCAGAACAGGGCAACAAATGAAATATTTAGGATATAGACCCACAGCAACTGTGATTCTCCTCGCATTTTTCCTATACTTGTCTTCTTTTCCTCTTCTGCATCTTGGCTGGCTTGTGCCTTAAACTTGTATTTCAAATGTAAGCAAAAATTATGCAGAACTCCTGACTCTTGGGATAGGCTGGGCTAAAGATAGGCACAGCAGTGTGGTGGAGATGCATCTGTACCAAAGATGTGTTGCTGCTCTACTTGGTATTCTCAGCATGACCTACTAAGGTTAGGAATGTTGCAGTCTCTTTGAAGCCCATCGTCATCTCCAAATATTTGTGGAAGATTTCAGAGGTTCTTGTGCTGGATGAATGCTGCACTCTTAATGATGTTTTGCGGCCTTTTTATGCTGGAGACACATTCCAGCATCAGCAAGTCTTCACGGAATACCTGGAGTTATGCCTTAAAATCCAAGGGCTTAATCACACACAGGGATATCCGCAGGCAGCACATCCTTTAAAAGGCATCTTTTGTACATGCCTAGTCTGAAGATGTTGCAGTTCCTATGCTGATGAAATAAGGCTGTAACCAGAACCTTTCATTGGCTGAGGCAAAAGAAATATAAATTTGCAGAAATGAGATTTTTTTTTTCTTTTAGCAGCTGGGCACTACCAAATAGTGGGAGCTTTCTCCATAGTTAGTAAAATGAATTACCAAGTGACAGGAGCACATGAGACAAGCGAGGGCGGGGTGGAAGACCTTGCAGTTTTACTCAAGAAAAGCAGGAGCTTCCACACCGTTTTTGTTCTAACGTTGTGGTGGCTTCAACAGAGCTAAATGAATGGGGTGTTTCTATTGATTGAAACTGACTATTTCCCATCACTGTCCAAGGGGGAGAAATACAGTCATGCAGCATTTTGAATGGTTAAGCATATGCTGCTGGCTCTTCCTCTGAATGCAAGCTTCTGTGCAAGAGGAATGGTATTTTGGGGAGTTGCTGGAGCTACTCAGGAGTGGTAGATTTGTCCTTAGTTAATGACAGTTACTAGAAAAAGCTGGGCCGTGAGGAATATATCACGATAAGTTTCAATGTGCAACTCAAAAAACCACTATTCTGTGCAATCAAGGTGCTGTACTGTAATATATACATAATAGCTCTGACCTAGCTTAGACTTTATTCTTTTAATTGCTGGATTTAGGAAATTTGAGCCTCTCCCAAATTACTAAACAAACAAACATAATGATACTATCCAGGGAAATGCCTTTGCAGAATATGTTGTTTTCTTTTTTTTTCTTCAGTAAATAAGTCACAGTCTTCCCTCATAATAAAAAATTTATTTTACAGAATCCTCCAATGCTACTTTATTGACCAATGCAGAAAAGATTGCTACAATTACAACCACACATACTCCTCAGCAAATACCACAGGAGACCAGGTCAGATTATTTTCCTTGAGGAGAGCGTGTTGACATGCTCTCCCTTTGGTTACTTCTCCATCTTCTTCACATCCCATGAGCTGTATTTTTCCTTTCTCTCTCTTCCTCTCTTTTTCTCTCATTCCTTTCAGCAGGAACAATGCCAAACCAAAGCAGGAATCCCAGTTTGATTTCAAACCACCCCAAGCAGCCCAGGTAAGGAGCATGTTCTAATTGCTATGTATACCACAGATAATTGCTTTCAATGTGCTTAAGGGCTGTGTTCAAATCTTTCCCAAGGAAATTCCTGCTGGGAGGCTGGTCTACATCAGTCTGTTTGGTGGAGAAAGAGGGATTTGTTGATTGGTTTCTTAATATCTGCTGCTGCTGTTTCAGCCTGCAAATGTTTCAAACACAGTCTCATCAAGATTAAAAAAAAAGGGGGGAGGAGGAAGAAGAAAAGGACTGCTAATGATTTTATGACAGTAATAATTTATGTGTTTGTTTATTGAAGTGTGTGTTTTGAGGGGTCTCTCTGGAAAGTACTGCAGCGTGCAGATGAGAAATTCAAAGGATGGAAAAGAACAGACCTTAATAAGGGGCAGTAATTGGAGTGCCCCAGCTTTTGCAGGCAGCGTCTTATTAGGGAGATTATCTCACTGTTAGCTTCCTTGCCACTGGCCAGCCCACAGCTGACCCCTTCCATTAGGGTTTTTGAAACATCTCCATGCTAACAGCATTTGTACTATAGAGCAAAATGTTTGTGCCTCTGAGCTGCTTGTAATGTAAGACATTGGGGGGTAACAAAAGGCAGCACCATGATATAGCTTCATCCAGGTTACCCATAAATATTTTGGTGAAGCCCAGTACAAGCTAAGCATCTTCCAGAAGTACCTTGCTTTCTCCACTGATGCTGGGCAAGGTCCTATCACCAAAGTGTCTAAAAACATGTGGGATGTGGCCAGGCCTTTTAATTCAATCAGCCCTTTGCAGCCCATCACAGGTGCTGCAAATTACAGGACAAATCTGCAGAACCAGGGATCCTAGTCTGTGTGCAGCAACTCAGCTGTTTTTTGTTTTGTGATTACAATTTAAAAAAAAATTATGATTATGTTTGCTGGTTGAATAATTTAAACATGAGAGATAGGATAGCATTTAACTTTCTGTTAAACTGTGCCTATGTTGTCTTCCCTCCAGCAGGACCAAGACTTTTATACTGTTGAGCTGGAAAGAGGAGCCAAAGGGTTTGGCTTTAGCCTGCGAGGTGGCCGGGAGTACAATATGGATCTGTACGTGTTGCGGCTCGCTGAGGATGGTCCGGCTGAGAGATGTGGCAAGATGAGGGTATGCACAAGACAGATGTTAAAAACGACACTCCTTTGCAGCAAGCTAACTTCCCTGCCTCTCTCCCAGGGGTGCTCCCGCTGCTGTGCCAGCTAAGAGGAAAACGAAGTGATAACCAAAAGGAGCAGGAGCTTCTGTTTATTTTTGTCAGCAATTTCTGTCAGAATCTGTAGAGTCTTTTAGAGCTGGAAGACTTCACCTCAGTCTTACTCCAGACTCAGATTTCCAAATTTTACTACATAAGCTGGTGCTTTATGTGTCACAAAGACACATGTGGCAATGAAAATTTAGTGGCCACAGCTTTTTGCCAGCTGAGGAGCTGGAGCCATGGGTAAAGATTCAAGGTACCCTCACTGCCAGTGAGGTATAGTAAGTATTCCTTACTCCTCCAATACAGGATACATAATTTATAGCGTATGTCTTTTCCTCTCCAGATACCATGTGAAGGGCATTTTCAAGATTCTTTTGCTAAGGGTAGATTTACAGGTGCAGAATTTTTGCTGACAGAAATAAATCTGGGCTGCTCTGCAAAAGCCAATGCTTTGACATGCTCTTCCAAGCCCTGTTTTCCTACCCTGATAAATGATTGTATTTACAAGAGCAAGTTTACTGATCCATACCAGGTATCTAAATCCAACTGAGAAAAGACCCTGGAAAAAATGTCTTGAATATCCCAGTTAGATGTAGAACAAATAACCACTTTTTACTAAGGATTTTATGAATAACAAAACTGGAAAAAAGTAAATATATCATGAGTTCAAAGCAGGCATTAAGTAATGCAGTAAAGCGAGGTGGGTTTTCAAAGCGCTGCAGAAAGATGCTGATACAGGAAGGGATTCCCTGTCTGGTTCCTGTCTCGCAGTCCCTGCACCCTGGTCTCTGCAGCCCAACTCGTGGCTGGGGCAGAGCTGTCCCTGGACAAAATCAGGAATGCGTAGCCTCCCCTCGGGCATATTCTTCATCCATTATTGCTGCAGCCATTCTACTCTTCCTCGGATGTTCACGGTGACACTTTTGGAGCCTCTTTTCTAATTTTAGCCTCCTCTCCTTACATTGACAGATTGGTGATGAAATCTTAGAAATCAACGGGGAGACTACCAAGAACATGAAGCACGCCCGGGCCATAGAACTGATTAAAAACGGTGGCCGCAGGGTCCGCCTGTTTCTGAAACGTGGAGATGGCTCGGTCCCGGAATATGGTGGGTCAAACTATGAAAACATTCCTTTCTTCCCTGGCATCACTCCATGAATGGTTTGTCTCAAGATCTGAAGCGGGGATTCTTTTTTATTTTCCTTTCTCACCAGTGTCTTACCAACCTTTGCAACATATGGTTAATTGCCTCGCTTGTGCTGACTTTTCTACACATTTCATCCTTTGCTTGCTTCCATGGACTTGGGGCACAGTGGGCAAGATCATCCTAGCAGTATTTTTGGTGATCAGAGAGGAAAACAAAACAAAAAAACTTATTGTCTTGTCCAGCCAAACAAGGAATGTCATTGAACTGTGCCAAACTGCTTCTCTGCGGCTGAATTGTGGTTTCAAATAGATCTCCACTTCTAATCAATGCAAAAACCGGGACCGGGAATTATTATTCTAAAGCAATGATTTTTCTGTTAGGCTTTTTTCTTAGTTCCTGTCTGTATCCATAGACATGAATGCCAAGATGGCTTATGGGATTTTTGCCTTCCCTTAATATTTATGTAAATATTTATAAAGTTATTTAAGAAAGAAAGGAAAAAAAAAGCTTTACTGCAGAAAATATATTGATTTGGCCTCCCAAGTCCTTTTCTTCCCTCTTAAACTGTCTGCTGGTTTCAACTTGTTAATTTGTAAGGTCTGGAAAGGTGAGGAGGTTCTGAAAAGGTACTCTCATGTCTGTCTTGGGGGAAACATTCGGTCTTTGTTTCTTACTAAGAATTGCATTAGAATTCCTTTTCTTCCCTCGGAGGTTGGATTGCTGGGTGGCCTAACTTAGCTTTCTATTTAATATTATAATTATGTCTTATTTATTTGAGATAATTGTCAAATATTGTGCCCTCGATGGAGGGCTACTCCCAACCAAAGGTCTTTGAGGTTTCTATAGAAACTGATGATTGAAGGGATGTCCTTTATACATTTCTCCTCTAATTTTGGGTTATTTCTGTGTCAGTAGTTCTGTGTTTATCACTCCATTTTCTAAAAACAAAGCAACAAGATCATTCTGCACAATTTATGAGCTAAATTTTCTTTTAATTTACTGTACCATGTTAGAGAATTTCTGCTCATTCTGCTCATTATTTAACTTAAAATGATGAATTCAGAGTATAGCAACAAACAATGAAAGTATTTAATAGTATGGAAGGGAAGCCGTGGGTTTACACTTCTGTAATATAAATAGCACACTGGAAGGTTCATTGATGGCACTGAATTTATGTAATGTTCTTTCTACTTTTGTCTCTTCCTATACTCCTTTGGATGTACAGTACTGTATCATACGCTAGACTTCAGAAATATCCTGTAAATTAAGTGCTTCACATCTCCAAGCATATGTCTGTTGCACTGAGGATGAAAATCCAACACTAATTTTCTTTTGGCTGAGCATAAATCACCAAACATTGGCTTTCCAAGCAAGGATTTAACATGCAGGGGCTGCACTACTGTAAAGAATATCCTTGTAACATTTGGGACTTCCTCTCCTCCGTTCTGTTCACTGCAGTCGCAAACGGTTACCCGAATAATGTTAGTTCCAATATTTTTCTGACTTGATTGGAACGTGCTTCTCTATGAGGCTGTATATTTTTGTAATGAGTTTTGTACTTATTTTTAATGTTGTGGTCTCTGGTGGACTTTATTTTCTGTCGTTGTTTGATTGTTAATGTTTTTTCTATGACATTCCGTGTCACTGTTCCAGCTGTCTCTTAGAATGGGTGCTCTCGTTGTCTGGGTTATCGAATCACCTCCTAGATGTCTCGTTATGTCACTATAATAACAACCGCTGTCTTTGCAGCCTTATATTTGGGTGAAGCCTAGACAATCTGACTGGAAAAAAATAAACTTTCTTTATTCTAAGATAAAATATGAAGATTTTTCTTTCTTTCACTTTTGTTATAGGGAAATCTAAATTTTCTACTTTTCTCTTTCTCTTTCTCTTACTTTTCTTGGTGCTGGGCTCTTCCTTCCTCAGCGATGATACCTCCTAATATCGCTGCATGTATGAGAAATGACAAGCTCGGGGAGTCTTGCTTCTACCTTATGGGCCATAATCAAACTACGGTTTGTAGCTAAAATCAATATTAGGTGTTTTTGTGCTGTGGCCTAATTCCCTCACATTGCTTTCCGCTTCGCTCTATTTTCTATCTGTCCAGCAATTCATTCCGAGCACCCTGCCTCCTTTGAATTGTAAGTACAATGCCGGCCACGGGGGAGCCTCGTGGCAACCTCACGTGGGAGCCAGGTTGCCCCGTGCCCGAAGCCACTGGGGCCTCTGTCCTCGCAGTGGGCAAGTGCAAAATGAGCGTGTTGGGGAGTCACGGCACGGGGTTTCACTGGGGAGCCTCAGAAATAACCAGGAGCAGCTGTAGGACATGGCAAGAACATGTGGAGCACTTGGCGTTGGGGAAGAGAAAGGAGAAATGCCCCCCAAAACGTGGAATTTTTTTGGCTTTTTGGCTGTCAGTATCTAGGCGGCCGGGCATGGAGTGAGCAGCTGCTGAGCTGCCCTGCAGGAGAGGCTTTAGGAGAGAAAACACACAAAAAAAAAGAAAATTAATTAAGAAAAAAAGCCCAATAGCCCATTAAAGCCACCGCCCCACATCTCCCATTCAGTCCATGCAGTTATTTTAATGTTTGCCGTGTCTCTAATGAATCATTCATAAACATCCACTACGAATGACATGGGTAATTGTAGCTTAGTGGTGGCACAGGGCTGGGCTCAGAGGGTTTGGGGGTTGGTTTGGGGTTTTTTGTTTGTTTGTTTGGTGTTTTTTTTGCAATTTTCTTCCTCCGCTTTGCGGTAGCTCAGCTCCTTCTCACCCGAAACGGCCACCCGGCAGCGAGGAGCCAGAGATGAGTTAGATCCAGGCCATCCTACCTGTTCCGATATCTTTCCATTGCTTTTGATATAACAAAGTCATAACTCCTGTCATCGTTTGTCAAGTCATTGTGGCAAAAGCAAAAAAAAAAAAAAAAAAATCCATTGGAGGATTTTTTTTTTTTAATTAGCATGTTAGATCGAGTGATGTCTTTAGCAGAAGGGAAATTAGGTGATTGCAGCCTGTTTATCACACCTTGAAAACATTGTGTTCCATGGTCAAAGCATCATGACTAAACTCCCCACACTTTGAGACTTATTGAAAATAAGGGCTTCCCACCCACGGAAGGGCAATTCCTTCAAAAAAGATTTAAAGAAACTTTTTCCTAGAGGCCCTTTTTTTATTGGAAATGATTAAAAAAGAAAAGCCTGATGTTATTCCCAGCCTTGAGCTTCGCGTGAGGCGCCCCGTGGCAGGAGGTGCGCAAGGGCCATGATGGCTCCGTGGTGTCTCCATGGGGGTCCATGGCAGCTCCAGCACTAACGCGCTACCCACGGGATTAACCCCAGCTCGGGGCCGGCCCCGGCCACTTTGACCGCTGTCCCTTTGTGTCACCGAGGCCGCGTGGAGGGGCGCAGGGCGGCGCGGCGGCCCCGCCGTACCCAACACTCTTGCTCTTGTTGTCTTGCAGACCCCAGCGGTGACGGGAGCGGCGCCGGCGCCGCCGCCGGTGCACAAAATGTATCGGAAATGAGGCTGGCGCCATGCGACCGACGGCAGCACCCATCATCGGAGTCCAGTTATCCACCAGACCTTCACCAACCATCACCACACGGGGACGGGCGGGCTTACGCTAGAGACCTGAGAGGCAGCAGGGAGGCCAGCAGACATCCCAACGAGCACCACACTTGGAACGGGACTTGCCGCGGCACGCTGGGCGGCCAGGGCCGGCCCGAGGCGCCGAGGCGGCGCGCGGCCGAGAAGCGGCGGGAAGGGACGCGGAGCGCCGACGCCACGCTGGAGCGGCGGGAGCGGCGGCGGGAGCGCTCGCCGCCGCGCCGCCGGGACGGCTCGCCC